CGCAGGAGTGAACTGGTGAACACCCCCATCCTGCAGGTCCGCTCCACTCACCAAGTTCGTAGAGAACGAGGGAAGGTACAGACCCGACAGGGTGCCCGAAGGGGCAGCCGGACACGGGAGGACAGTGGAGAAGTGAGACAGGACAGGACCCCCAGAGGGGTCAGCAAGGGAGACCGCAACCGGCCTGGCGAGCGGCGAAAGGGTAGTGCGGTCTCGAAAGAAGGAGCGAGAAGCTCCGGAGTCAAGTGTGAAAGTGAGGGAGGACGAGGACGACTCAGTACCTGAGAGCGCAGTCTCACCAGTACCTGAGAGCGCAGACGCACTGGCACCTAGAGCAGCAGCCTCACAAGCACCTAGCGCAGCAGTACCAATGCCCGGGTCGGGCTGAAAACACCGGTAACCCTCATTCTCCTCACTATAATCCACAACATACATAGCAGTAAGGATAGCATCAAAATCAAGATCAAAGATCGCTACACCAGCCCTGAGAAGCTCATCCCAGCGAGGGATCTCACTAGCCCCAGGGAACTGCTGACGCCAAGCGTCCGTCAGGCGGCCAAAGCAGCGCTGGGTGGCGTGGGCACCCCCACACTGCTCACCCGCGCGGTCGCCGGAACGAAGAACGTAGGTGCAGGGACCAGTACCCCCACCCCTCTGACGCCCAGCGTACCACTCACGAAGCTGCTGAGGCGAAGGGATGTCCCGCGAGCGCTGCTGCTGCTGCCGGTGCGAGCGCTGGCCACCACCACCGCCGCTACGCTGCTGGGTACCACCCCGACCAGCTCCACCTCCTCCACCACTACTGCCTCCTCCGCTGCCGCCTCCACTGCCTCCACCTCCGCCGCCTCCACCTCCGCCGCTGCCTCCACCACCACCGCTGGCACCACCACCACCGTCTCCGCCGCTGCTGCCGCCACCACCACCACCACCCCCGCCACTAGCCCCGCCGCCACCCCCACTCCCTCCGCCGCCACCGCCGCCACCGCCACCGCCCCCTCCAGCTCCACCCGCGCCCTTGCCCCCCTTGCCCTTGCTGGAGCGACGTCTCCCACTAGGGGCAGACGCCGCGCCGACCGACTCAAGACCAAGCAGGTCGGCAGCAGCAGCAGAGGCAACAGAGGGCAGCAAGGGGGAAGGAGAGCACCCCTCAAAGATGGGGGTGCGAGGGTCACCACGAGAAGCACCTACAGCGACTATGCTCTTCTCCGCTGCAAGGAGGGCCTTCTCGAGGAGGTCGACGGTGAGAGTGGTGGGACAGACTGCGAGAAAGTGGTCCCTGACGACGCGAAGGGAGTCAGGGAGGCGTGCGACTACGTAGTAGAGAGCGATGTACATGGGGGGGGGGTTCTTAGCGCAGAACTCAGCAGGAAGGGCGGCGCGGTAGCGAGTGTCACTAGTGCGGAGGTGCGTAATGAGGTCAGCGACAGTGGGAAAGGCAGAGAGGTCAGGAAAGAGGTAGGGAAGCATGAGACGGCTCAGTGCAGCAGTGGCAGGGGAGGAGTAGCGCGCAACTACAGCGTCGTACAAGGTCTGAGCACTCTTGTACTGACTAAAGTGCGCACGCTCAGAGGTAGGGAGGTGGCGACGCACAGCAAGACGTGCAGCAGCATCGCGGGTGGCCCACTTAGAGCGGACAGCGGGATCAGCATCAGCAGCAGGGGCAGGAGAGGCGCCAGAGGTGAGGTCAAAGAGAGAAAGGTCGTCAGCCCTGTCGCACTGTAAGAACAGCTGCAGGTCGTCTAACCAGACCTCAAAATCAATGGCGCGACCCTCAGCGTCAAAAGCTAGGACACTAGGGGTAGCCATGGCGACGACAGCGACGCAGTGCAAGCAGTAGGGAAAGAGCTCGCAGTGGCAGTGGGACTGTGCTCACCAGGCAGGGCAGGTCGAGTAGGTATGCAGAAAGGCGGCTCAGCGACCTGGCGGCTCGGGTGCTGGGCGGCTCGGGCGCAGGGCGGCTCGGCTCCCGGGCGGCTCGGCGGTAGGGCAGCTCGGGGGCAGGGCGGCTCGGCTCCTGGGCGGCTCGGCGACAGGGCGGCTCGGGTGCAGGGCGGCTCGGCTCCCGGGCGGCTCGGCTGCAGGGCGGCTCGGCTCCCGGTAGTAGGGGGGGGGGGGGGGGGGGGGGGGGGGGGGGGGGGGGGGGTGCGCGGTTCGAGCAGGCGGCCGGGGCCGCGGGTAGTAGCGGGCGGCGAGGCCGTGCGAGCAGGCAGCCGGGGCCGCGACAGGAGCGGGCGGCGGGGGCCGCGGTCGAACAGGCGGCTGGGGCCGCGGTCGTAGCAGGCGGCCGGGGCCGCGATCGTAGTGGGCGGCGGCCGCGGTGTAGCGGGCGGCAGGGCCGCGTCGAGCAGGCGGCTGGGGGCCGCGATAGGAGCGGGCGGCGGGGCCGCGGTCGAACAGGCGGCTGGGGCCGCGGTCGTAGCAGGCGGCCGGGGCCGCGGTCGTAGCAGGCGGCGGCCGCGGCGTAGCGGGCGGCAGGGCCGCGTCAAGCAGGCGGCTGGGGGCCGCGTCGAGTAGCCGGCTGGGGGCCGCGACAGGAGCGGGCGGCGGGGCCGCTGTCGAACAGGCGGCTGGGGGGCCGCGGTCGTAGCAGGCGGCCGGGGCCGCGGTCGTAGTAGGCGGCAGCCGCGGCGTAGCGGGCGGCAGGGCCGCGTCGAGTAGGCGGCTGGGGGCCGTGTCGAGCAGGCGGCTGGGGCCGCGATCGTAGCGGGCGGCTGGGGCCGCGACTTAGCGGGCGGCTGGGCCGCGTGTGGGAGGGAGGCGACACGGAGGGTCGCTCGATAGCGGAAAAAAAAAGTTGAGCGCGCCTCGGGGCGCGCTTCGGTGGGCCCTAGGCAGAGTTCCACAGGGAACCCGCTCTATACCATGTGAAATGAGTAAGCAGGAATGAATGAACTATGAATGAAAGCAGTACAAATATGAAACCCTAACTGGGTTGTACCCCCTATGGGATACCCCACTACAGCCTACACAGCAGTATAAGCTATAGATATGTTCTGACATCATAAGCCTTGTTTGCGATCCAACCATGACAGAGGCGCCGTTTGTTGATACCCCAACGGTTTTCTGCAGGTCGATGCCGATGGACTCCAGATGCTGGAGTAGAACTGCAAGCAGAGAAGCCGTGTCGCACTGGTTGACGATAAGTAACGACGGAAACTTCGTTACCACCACGATGCTCTTCATGAAAGTGACAAACAAAATCATGTGTTTGCCACGAGTGCGGTCAGTGCTTTCGTCGCGACTAATGCCAATGTATGGCGACGCGTGCAAGTGTCGCATCTGCTCGCGGTGCAGGAAAGTGGTTAATGCCTTAACTATTTCCGCAAAACCATACATGGCTAGAAACAATGAGAAGTTGTTAGTACACATTGGAAAAAACATATGAAATCGAGTAAAACGTTCAACATCAGCGGGACTCACTGTGTGATGTACATGCCGTAAGACTGTCACGGTATGTGGGCGACGCCCTCCTTAGCAAGGAACTGCACGAGCCGCGGGTACATCTGTATCGGCGTGTCCGTCTTGCACACAAACACGATGCTCCGCATAAGCCGCGAAATCCGCGCGCCCTCCTGATCGCCCTTCGCAAAGTCATCGATGCGCTTATGCTCCTCGATTTTCTTCATCAGTCCCATTTGCTTCTTCATGGCGTTGTCGTGCTTCACGCTCGCCTCGTGCCAGCGGAAGGACCCAATCTGGAGCTCCTGACCTCCTATCCCATTGCGGCCGTAGCGAGCATCGTCCTCCCCGTGCCCTATGAAGACACTGCAACGAAGGCAAGGAAAACCGTCAGTTGTTTTGTCAAGGACTAACCATGAGAACAGCTGTAGCCAATCTGACGTGTAGATCCTCTGGGCCTTCAAATACAACTTCTCCATTTTAGAAAGCTTGCTTTCTTGTTGTAGCAATGGCATCGTCTCATTTCAAATGGCGAAGTACAGACATGTCCAAGCTAGCATGCAATTATTCTAAAGCAATCAACTATCCATAATTGGTCCCAGTGCTACGGGGTGGGTGGGCGGGAAATTAGGCTGAGCCGTTTGAAAATGAAAGACGTGGGTGGAGGGAAACGACCTCCAGCCCACGTTTTGTACTCCAAAACGGGCGTTTAGCGCGGTTCGCCGATGACCATTGCTACATTACAAGCCGCTTCGCTTTCAAAATACAAAATTTTGAAAAGCGTTACAACTTTTAAAAATATTCATATTTTAGAAAGCTTGCTTTCTTGTTGTAGCAATGGCATCGTCTCATTTCAAATGGGTCTTCAGAGACATGTGTCTTGTTGGACGCTGTTGGCTCGCCACTGTCGTGGCGTGTTGAGCGGGGGAGAGGGCTCGTGCTGGGTCTTGAACTTGCTTCGAAGCCCCCACCAGTTGGTCTGCGGCAGGCGTGATGTACGTCTCCTTGGCGGTGTCGTTGCTCTACCTTCCTAGTCGCTTCAGGATGCGGTCTGATATTCCGGCGTTGGCTGCGACAGTTGCTGCACCTTTCCGAAAAGAGTGGGTGATGAGATGCTCGAAACTAAGACCGATTTTGTTGAAGGCCTCTTTGCACCAGTTGCGGATTGTGGTGTTAGAATCCTAGAGTTTAGTAGGCTTAGGAGCCATTGCTAGTTGCCTTAGTAGCTTAGGTTTAGGGTTGATGAAAGTCAAGAAAGTTGAGAGAGGAGAAAAGGGGGTTTCACTATAGGTTGGCAACAACATATAGCAAAGGATCAAAGAAGGTGCACCACCAAACAAAGTTTATAATAACTACACTAACTACAGCTACAGGCAGTTACAGATATATTTTGACACTCCCCCATAACTGCTTGCAGCAGAAGCTAATGCAAAGACACCCCCTGAAGGGGTACACCAAGCGCAGCAGAAGGAGAGGGCAAGTGAGGAGGAGGGAATATATGAGGAGAGGCTGGTGGCAGGTGAAGCTGCTGGCTCCAAGGCGGCTGCTTCTTGGAACCTTCCTCAGTCCTCCAACTCCCCCTTCCACACTCCTTGACAGCCCTAGCACCTCTCCCCCAGCTCCCCCACACCCTCACACCCACCCCCCCCCCCCCCCCAGCGGCAGCTGCATCAATGGGAGAGAAAGGAGGAGGAGAGGAAGGGGATCACACACACCCATCACCCCCATACCCACCACCCCCATAGCCTCCGTTCCACGGCTGCACGCGCAGCAGGGAGGCAAAGAAGGGGGAGGGGGAAGAGCAGGGGCAGCATAGGCACGGGAAGGGCAGCCGCGCGTGCAGGGCAACAGCGCGGAGCAGTAGCAGAGCGCACAAGGGCGCAGGCAGACCACAGCGCACAAGGGCACGGGCAGCAGCAGGGCGCACGACGGGCAGCACAGGCACGGGCAGCAACGGGCGGCAACGGGCAGCACAGGCACGGGCAGCAACTGGCGGCAACGGGCAGCACAGGCACGGGCAGCAACAGGCAGCAACAGGCAGCACAGGCACGGGCAGCAACGGGCGGCAACGCGCAGCACAGGCACAGGCAGCAACGGGCGGCAACAGGCAGCACAGGCACGGGCAGCAACAGGCAGCACAGGCACGGGCAGCAATGGGCGGCAACAGACAGCACAGGCACGGGCAGCAACGGGCGACAACGGGCAGCACAGGCACGGGCAGCAACGGGCGGCAACGGGCAGCACAGACACAGGCAGCAACAGGTAGCAACGGGCAGCACAGGCACGGGCAGCAACAGGCAGCAACGGGCAGCACAGGCACAGGCAGCAACGGGCGGCAACAGGCAGCACAGGCACGGGCAGCAACAGGCAGCACAGGCACGGGCAGCAACGGGCGGCAACAGGCAGCACAGGCACGGGCAGCAACGGGCGGCAACGGGCAGCACAGGCACGGGCAGCAATGGGCGGCAACGGGCAGCACAAGCACAGGCAGCAACGGGCGGCAACGGGCAGCACAGGCTCGGGCAGCAGCAGGCAGCAGCGGGCAGCACATGCACACGCAGCAACGGGCGGCAACAGGCAGCACATGCACGGGCAGCGACAGGCAGCACAGGCACGGGCAGCAACGGGCGGCAACAGGCAGCATAGGCACGGGCAGCAACAGGCAGCAACGGGCAGCACAGGCACGGGAAGCAACAGGCAGCACAGGCACAGGCAGCAACAGGCAGCACAGGCACGGGCAGCAACAGGCAGCACAGGCACGGGCAGCCGTACCGAGTCTAGGAGCGGCGGTGCATACAGCTGTGGGGTCGGCGCCGTGGGCTGCTGCTGGGGCGGCTTGCGGGGTCCAGGGGCGGCTGCTGTTGCTGGGGCGGCTGCTCCAGGTGCTGCTGCTGCTGGGGCGGCCGCTGCAGTGGCGGCGGCTCCAGGGGCTGCTGCTGTTGGGGCAGCGGCTCCAGGGGCTGCTACTGCTGGGGCGGCTGCTCCAGGCGATGCTGCTGCTGGGGCGGCCGCTGTAGTGGCGGCTGCTGAGGTCCAGGGGCGGCACTGATGCAAGGTAGGCCCGCGCTCGGCTGCAACGCTGGCGCGGGTGCAGGTGAGGCAGAGGCGGTGGCCAGGGGGGAGGGCGCCGCGACGAGTAGGAACGGCGCCCAAGGGGTGCCGCTACGAGTAGGGGCGACGCCCCAGGGGCACCGCGACGAGCAGGGGCGGCGTCCAGGGGGCGCCGCGACGAGCAGTGGCGACGCCCCGCGGGTCCCGCAAGGGCGTCACGACGAGCAAGGCGACGCCGTGCGGGTCCTGCAGGGGCGTCGCGACGAGCAGGAGCGGCGCCTCGCAAGGCGCCGCGAAGTGGAGGGTACGGGCGGGCAAAACAGGCCCGCCCGTGGACATGAGGCAGGCGCGCAGGCGGCGTGAGGGCAGGTCACGCGCGGGGCAGAAAATCGCCGTGCGCCTACGCCGCGCGCGGTAAGACGATAGGCAGCGGAAGCAGGAAGGCAGCAGGAACGTACCTGCTCTGAATACCATGTTAGAATCCTAGAGTTTAGTAGGCTTAGGAGCCATAGCTAGTTGCCTTAGTAGCTTAGGTTTAGGGTTGATGAAAGTCGAGAAAGTTGAGAGAGGAGAAATGGGGGTTTCACTATAGGTTGGCAGCAACATATAGCAAAGGATCAAAGAAGGTGCACCACCAAACAAAGTTTATAATAACTACACTAACTACAGCTACAGGCAGTTACAGATATATTCTGACATGTGGTGTAGGATGGCGACTTGGCGGCTCCGTTTTTCCCACCCTCTGTTCCAAAGACGCGGATGAGTGGGCCTTGTTGCGATTGATCGTATCGTGCTAGGTGTATGAATCATTTGGTGCACCGAAGTGGGCAGAAGGGGCCAGGGCTTGCCGCTACCGGGACCCATGTGCCTTCTCCTGCCTGATCCGTCTTCGCAAAATCTCTGACTTGAGAGGTGAATGCGCCGATGGACGGGCATGATGCCCCGATCGATCGATGCACGAAGCTGACTGCAGAGCATGTCAACTGAATTGCAGACACCGTAGCCTTGTGTTGAATGGCGTGGACCAGGTACAGCGCGAGCGTCATGTCAGTGCATGGGAGGAACTTGAGCTTGTGGTGTAGGCAAAAGGAGCGGAACTTGACCCAGTAGGGCTCGTATGTACGGATTGTGGAGTCGGCCCGCGTTTGCGTGGTTATCTCTAGTACGCGATGCTTGAGTTTTTCCGGCAATCCTGCATCGTGTGCAAAAGCAGTTAGCAGGTGAATGACACGCGTAGTGCGACCATAGGACTACACGGCAAACCGTCGCCGGAGAAGGCGCTGGAGTGATTGCCTGCCATCAGGCACTGGCTACTGTGCGTGAGGTGGAGGTGGGTGTGAATGTAGGTGGCCCATTGAGGAGGGGAGGGTTGCAGTAGGGGCCACCAACTTGCGCCAGGCCAGTAAGGCGTGGCGAGAGTGATGGCGGCGTGAGTTCGTTTCGCATGGTGGAGCACTGCTGGGATTAAGTGCGGTGGAGGGAATGCGTATCCCTGCTCGGAGGTCCATGGGATCGAGAATGCGTCGACTGCCACTGCGTCTGGGTGCGGTGTTTTGGAGTAGAACCGAGGTAGCTTGGTATTGCTCCCATTTGCGAATAGATCGATTGAGTGCGGGCCCAGGCGGCGCTCGATGAGCCGGAACCAAGGTGTCTTTAGTGAGTAGTCGTCACGATCGAGCGCCTTGGAGAGTTCATCCGCCCGTGTGTTTAGTTCGCGCGGGATCCATTCGACCACGAGCCGAATCCGAAAAGTCATGCATGTTTGGATGATCGACTTGCACGTCGCTGTAAGGTTGGTCTGCCTTGAACCACCTTTCCGAAGGATGAAGAAAACGCCTTGGTTATCGGTCCTTGCGAGGACGTGCTGGTCGCGGATTCTTTCTGAAAACGTTTGGAGTGCCCATAGAAAGCCATCTATCTCTCGCTGTGTGCTGGATGCCTCTAGCAGATGCTTCGGCATTGCCGCACTTTCCTCGATACGCCGTCCTGGGAACTTGTCCAACGTCACTCCCCAACTGTGTGCGCTGGCATCCACATGGATGACGGCATCGTAGCTGTTAGGGACGTGAAATGGGGCGCCGTTGAATTTGTCGAACTCGTGGCATCAAAAGTCCAGTTCTTCAATCGCCATAGGGTCCAGCAGCACTTTACTATTCCATGATGGTGCCTGCTGGATTGCCTGCAGCAGGCCTTGACTGAACGCTCGTGTCGTCGCCCCAAGAGCCAGTGACATGGATGCCAGCATGCCGGTGACTCTGGCGATGTGACGGACTGGGACCTTGCGTTCTGCCTTTCCTTCCCTCAGAAGGACTTGGAGGGTGGAGAGTAGTGAGGCTCGACGTTCAGCGCCGATAGAGAACTGACCACGGTCAGTGTCTAACTCGACGCCCAGGAAACGCAACTGCTGGGTCGGTTGTAGATGCGACTTTTTCGAGTTGATCACAAGCCCTGCCTTGTTGAGGTCATGTATGATTGATTGACATGTGGCTCGTGCTTTCGCTTCTGTGTCACAAAGGAAGAGGATGTCGTCGACATAAGGAATGACCCGTATGCCCATGGCTCGCCAGCGCCGAGCGAGTTGTTTGATCAGTTGTGTAAAAACGAATGGGGCCGTTGCGAGGCCGAACGGGAGCGAGCGGAATATGTATGTCTTTCCGTCAAATCGAAATCCCAGGTACTTCCAGCACGATGGGTGAATATCCACGTGGTGATACCCAGACTTTAGGTCGATAGAGAACATCCAGTCGCCCACGCAAGCGATCTCCGCAACCCGATTGAGCCCCTCGTACTTGAATTTTGGAATGCGCAGGTGCAGGTTCACTTGGCGGAGGTCGAGGATCAGTCGGCATTTCTCTCTTTGGACCACCACGTTCAGTGGGCTAATGCATACGGTCTGAGCCGCGGGGGCAAGAGCAGCTGCCCCGCTTTCTAGGAGCTTGCTAATAGCGTGTTTGGTAAACTGGGCGTGGATCTGTGCGCCCGCGTGATTGTCGCGCTGGAACGGCGCTGGGGGAATGAGTTCCCATGGCATCCAGTAACCGTGAAGTATCACTGAGAGTATGAAGCTTCTGTCGCACCATGAGCTCCACCATGGGAATGCCAAGCGTAGCCGACCGCACATCTTTGTGACGAGCTGATCTGTGATCGCGTATTCGTAGGGGATGTGTCGCTCGCCCATCCCGCCATCCGGTGGATCCGTGCAACGGGTCGCAAAAAGGGCACAGGCAGTGAAGATTTTTTTGTTTTTTTTTTTTTTGTTTTTTTGTTTTTTTTTTTTTTTTTGCATCAGCTCTAGTTGCTATTAATACGAGTGCATGTACTAGTGAACAACGGGGCAGTGTATGGCCGAACCCTCACAAGGTAGGCCATTTACCCACCCTTCCCCTTCTCTTTCATATTGATACGTTCACCTCTCTCTCCCTTGTTGTTGTTGTTGTTGTTTTTTTGTTTTTTGTTTTTTTTTTTTTTTTTTTTTTTTTTTTTTGTCTTTCAACGCCTAATGTCAGAACATTCTAGCTTACTTATTTGTGTAGGCTATAGTGGAGTATCCCATAGGGGGTACAAGCCAATTAGGGTTTCCTATATGTACTCACTTCATTCATAGTCATTCCACTCTCGTTCTCATTTTCACATGGAATCGGAGCAGGTCCCCTCCTAGGGACTGTTCCTAGGGCCCACCGAAGCGCGCCTCGAGTCGCGCTCTCCCATTTTTTTTAGCGACCCGTCGTGTCGCCCCTAGCGGCCCGTCGCGCCGACCCTACGATCGCGCCGAGCCGCCTTAGCGGCAGTGGCGCGCCGCCCTTGCAGCGGCCTGTCGCGCCGCCCTACCTCGCGGCCTCGCCGCCCTACTCCTGCGGCCCCGCCACCCTACGTCGCGGCCCCGCCGCCCTACGCCGACGGACCCACCGCCCTATCACGCGGCCCCGCCGCCCTACTCCTGCAGCCCCGCCGCCCTACATCGCGGCCCCGCCGCCCTACACCGACGGCCCCGCCGCCCTACTGACGCGGCCCCGCCGCCCTACTCCTGCGTCCCCGCCGCCCTACATCGCGGCCCCGCCGCCCTACACCGACGGCCCCGCCGCCCTACTCCTGCGGCCCCGCCGCCCTACATCGCGGCCCCGCCGCCCTACACTGACGGCCCCGCCGCCCTACTAACGCGGCCACGCCGCCCTACTCCTGCGGCCCCGCCGCCCTACTCCGCGGCCCCGCCGCCTTACCTTTCGACGGCCCCGCCGCCCTACGTTGCGGCCCCACCGACCTTCTTGACGGCCCCGCCGCCCTGCTCCCGCGGCCCCGCCGACCTACTCTGCTGCCCGCCAACCGCCCTACCTGCTGCCCTCCCGCAGCTCTACCTGCGGCCCACCCGTCGCCCTACCCACGACCGCCACGCCGCCCGGAACCAGCGCCACCGAGCCGCCCGACCGCCGGGTCACCCATCAGCCGAGCCGCCGAGCCGCCCCGCAGCCGAGCCGCTGAGCCGCCGAGCCGCCCAGCAACCGAGCCGCCGAGCCGCCGAGCCGCCCAGCAGCCGAGCA